GAGTATTTTCAACACAGCCTGCATTTGCTTTCTGGTGATCACAAGGAGCCTGGTCTTCTGGAGCAGGACTCACAGGGACAGAGCTGCCTGCACAGCCTCACCTATTGTAGGATATAAATCTGCAATATTTCCCAATCAAGTACAGCAATAAAACAACTTCCCCTTCTATTATTTAAACAATAATAAGAAAGTGATTACCAGGAAGAGATCTTTAAGAAACACAAACGGAGGTATCTATCTAGATGGTCTCAACCAAAGGTAGCCCAGGAAGGCCAGCTGTGGGTCCAGCTCTCTAAGACAACTGGTTCTTTGATCCTTTACAAAACCAGCCAGAATTCTTTTGACTGCATGTTAAAATGAGATTTTCCTGAGCTGGCTTAATTCTGTAAGAAAGAGCTCAGAAGTATCTGTGGAGATGTGGCTTATCTTAACTGTTCCTTCCCTTCCTGCTTGTCCTTCCTGACAGCACCCATTAAGCTGCACAACCCTATTCAAATGTAAACATCCTACTAGCCATGTCAACATAGTGTATTCATGAATTACTGAGAGTTCCAAAACCAGCAGAGCAGGGAGACTGAGAAGGTCACTTTGTACAAGAGGAGAACAGAGGCAGACCTCTAAGCTCCACAAAATCTAATTCTAATTTTTACCAACTTAAAATTAAATATGCTTTGTTGCAATTTATTCAATGTTTTATTCAATTTATTAAATGAAAAATATTGACATTATTCTGTCACTAACTGTACATTATATTACTAATGTATTAGACTAACGTTCTTTAGTGTCTATTAGATAACATCCTTTTAAATCTAGTAGAGACTTCTACCTATTGATTTTCAATAAATAAAATGCATTCACTGTATTAAGATCCAAATTCTCAGAATTTATAGAGAAACTCTTAAGAATGGGAATCAAGGATGAAATTTCTCATTCCCTGAAGTTATCACAGCATTTAATATCTTACATTACACACACTTAAACCCTCTTTATCTGTTATAAGAATATTTTAGACACTCTTAAATTATCAAGATTATATTGGGGCATTTTTCCAGCAGCAGCACTTTAAGCTTGGATACTATTAGCTAATAAGGAGAGAAAGCAGCCAAACCAGCTGTTGCAAGACATTGAACTTTTGCTTTTGATCATCCTTTGCTTGATTCATGGCCAAAAACAGTCATGGAAATTTAGCAGAGGATAAAAAAAGTTTAGTGGGTGACAGAGAAATGGCGAGTAAGCGATGTCAATCATAACATACCACCAAAGTTCTACTCTTGCAGTGAGATTATCACCTGAATTTAAAGCAGTTTTCCAGTCCTCTTTTGGGTTCACTTTTGGTGTGATGGAAGACACTTTTCTTGCTCTTACAACAAGCGAAATAGGACAAACATATGGGAAAACAATACATATTTGCAAAATTATTAATGTTTTATATTTTAAATAACTTACACTTTTTAGACTTGTTCTCTAAAGTAGTTTATTCTACACAGTTAATCTCTCATGTCTTAAGGCTGTCTTGCTTAGAAATCTTAGATTATTTGCTTTTCCTATCTTAATTCTAAATGCAGCAGTTTGCAGAGGCTATTCAGACTGTGACTTCAGTCCTAACAACCCTTCCTCCTTTCTTATTTCAACAAATAAAGTGGTATGTTTACCAAACATTTTCCAGAAAAAAAAATAATTTCTAATAATTCCAGGAATAATTTTTATTTTTAAAACCACTTACTAGTTTTTCTATTTCATAGCACAGTACTCTCCCAGTTGTACATTATGTTCTAATAACTCATAATTAGAACTAAGTAATAAATAGTCATCTAGGAAACCCTATTTGTGGAACATTAACATTTTCACCTACCAAAATATAAATTCTGGGAGTACAGGATTAACATATGAAATTTAGCAAATATAGAAGCAGTAAAGAAAAATAAAACTATTTACTACAATTTTAAAGGAACTGGCAGGGAGAAGACAGTTTCATACAATAAATTAAAAATTACATTAACTTAAATTCCTTCATGTTTTTGTCCTTTGGCTTTTTCCCTTTCTGCCTTTGAGGCAGAAAATTCATACATACAATGCAGTAAATCTTTTAAAATTCAGAATCTAAACATGCAGTCCATATCTGCTCTGGTATTTGTATAAATATTCTTCAGATATGTAAATACAAGTGACACAAGTATGTGTACATAATGTACAATGCAAATGAATAATGGTACCTCTGACAAGGCAGAGATAAAAAACAGATAACGCAACTTAAAACTTCATCACACTTGTGGCTTCTTACATTTTTTCATAAATCTTCATATTCCTATCAAAGGGTCCATTTGGATTTCTAAATATTTAACAATGCTATCCCACTTTCTCACTCATCGCTTTAAAAGCTCTGTGCACTTCAGAAAAGGCAAGGGAAACAACGTTGCTTCTACCCTGCAAATATAAAAACAAAAATGCACAAAAGGCTATTTTTTTCAACACTGGTGTTACCTCAAACCTCTTCTTATTATGCTAGTGTCCACCAAAATGCAGGGCAACTTCTTACACTCCTTTCTTTTCCAAGTTACCTATCATGATAAATGTAGAGCCTTCAAAATGAGCTGGCTCAGCACTTTAAAATTGGGTTACATAATAATGCATCTTCTTTTAACTTTCAAGTGACTGACACTCTACGAATGGTGCTTCTAAAATTATGTTTGTCCAGGCAAAACAAAAAACAAAAATGAAGTTCTTATGTTCTACGTA